TGTGATTTTTTTTGGGGCGGGGCGGGGGGGATTTGATATATAAATGTGTGGGAATGCTCATATGATTTGTTGGATCAAATTTGATTTTTTCTTGAAGTTCTTAGGTGAAAGTTTTGATTTTGATTTTTTTTTTGTTAAGTATTTTAGTGATTTGATATATAAACGTGAGAGAATGTTCATATGATTTTTTGGATCAAATTTGATGATGGGTATTTTTTTGAAGTTCTTGTGGTGAAAGTGTTGATTTTGATTTTTTTTGGTTCAGTATTTTAGTGATGGGGAAATAAATAAAAGTTGAAATTTTTGTTTCATTAGAACTTTAAGTTTGATTGTAGAATTTTGGACTTTTGTTTCTGTTAATATTAGTTATGTGGAGATGAACGAAACCCAGATTTTGATTTCATTTGGATGTTGCTTGTTTTTGAAACCAGATTGATAAAACGTGTAATTCTTTAATTTGAAACAAATTAACTGTTCTGTTTCGATTTTTTTTCTTCTCTAGTTGGTGATATTTTTTGTGATTTTGTTTTGAAGACGGCATTGATGCAAGCTTGTAGATATGGACACTGGGAAGTTGTGCAGACACTTTTATTGTTTAGGTGCAATGTAAGTAAATTCAGTTTCAGAAGAGAAACTTTTGTTGATTTTCCTGTTTTACTTGGAACTTGTTCTTTTTTTTTTAATTAACCTTTGTTAAAATTGTGGCTTTATAGGTTACGAGGGCAGATTATCTTAATGGAAGGACTGCTCTACACTTTGCAGCTGTAAATGGGCATGCAAGATGTATAAGATTAGTTGTAGCAGATTTTGTTCCTAGCGCCCCTTTTGAAGCTATGCATGCTTGTATAGAAGGTGATACTGGGGATGGTTCTAGTGAGAAGAACAGATTTGACCAGAGGTATTAGTTCATTCAGATTGTAAAGATTTTCACCCTGATGGCATATTGATTCTGGCGTCATTACTTTGGTGGGAAATAGTTGTTGTCTGATGTTTCCCTCTTGCTGTTAGATTTATTCTTTTAGTGGTTTATACCACAGATGTATCTGACTTATGTTATATTATTGTGCAGTGCGCTGTCCAGGTTTGTAAATAAGGCGGCTGATGGTGGTATCACTGCACTTCACATGGTTGCATTGAATGGGTATTTTGATTGTGTACAGCTTCTACTTGATATTCATGCAAATGTATCATCAGAGACATTTCATTATGGGACAACGATGGATTTGATAGGTTTACTTTTCTGCTCTATGCCTCACAATTTGTTTGCAAATCTTTCGATTGTGATTTGTACCCCTGAAAATATAATTATGTTGATGCGTAGGGGCTGGAAGCACCCCCTTGCATTATGCTGCCTGTGGGGGCAATTTAAAATGCTGTCAGGTAAGAATAATATTCAGCAAGAAGAAGCTTGCCTTTCCTGTTTTTGACTTTATGAACATTAGATGATAGTGCTGCTAATTCTCCAGATCCTTCTTGCAAGAGGTGCCAGTCGGACGACATTAAATTGCAACGGGTAAATTGCTTTGGGTTTGTTTTGTGTTATGACTGATTGATGCAACAGCTCTGGAATTTATTGTGAAAAATTGACATAGAAACTCCTGTGTTTTCTTCAGGTGGCTGCCTGTTGATGTTGCTAGGATGTGGGGGCGTCATTGGCTTGAACCATTGTTGGCACCAAATTCTGAATCTACAATACCTAGATTTCCTCACTCTAATTACTTAGCCTTGCCTCTTTTGAGTGTACTTAACATAGCAAGGTACTTTTTCAACTTAATAAATATGCTCCCTCTCTCTCACGCACACATGCTTATATAGAGGTGTGCATAAATCCATGCTAAGAAGGTGATGGTTTAAAAAATATCATCGCAACAGCACTAACTAAAGTCTCAAACGCTTGATGTTTATAATTTTCTAAATTTGGGTATCATTGGAATTTCAGAACTAAATTTGAGTCCAATAAAATAGCCCAGTTTCTAATAGTAAACTGATAGAGTGGATATGGGTCCTCTGCCCTTTGTTGCTTTCTTGGGCAGCCTATTGTTTAAGGAAAAGTAAGTTTGATGCTTTTATTAATTCTGCAACAAAGAGCAAGAGATACGAACTCGGTTAAGAACAAGCTGCTCTAGCTTGGTTCACTATGAGCTTGTCATCCAAGTCTGGCTGATATGGAACCTGTTTTATTGGGATACGAGTGCCTTACAGTTAATGTCTCATGCTTGCTGAATACTGTATAAGCTAGATACTGATTATGTTTTCTGTGTGCGACATCTTATAGTATGAATTGGTTTAATGATGCTTACAGAATTAAATCAAACTATAAACCCTTCGTCGAGGCAATGTGTGAACTGTGAAGGATCAAAACTTGAGAAGGTTTCTACTTTCATGTTTTGTTCCATATCCTGCTATCAGTTGGTGCTATTACTACTTCCAGGAAAGGAGGAAAATGAATGACCGGAGAATTTATAAGCTCTTAGGAGAGATGTAATTAGTAATTAAAATTCCTAACATCCCCCGTGTTAAGATTGCTTGAAGGCTGAAGCAGCACATGTTGGCTACCCTAGGAATGGAATTATCTGTGCATCATTGCATCAAGAATGACAGTATCTTGTGTCAAGAGTTTCCCTTGCTGATTGCTTATTACTAAATCATTTGTCGACTTGTTGCACATGCAAGACACTCATATGTGATGTTACACATTTTTTTAGATCTCAACCCAGAAAATCTAAGCCTACTACAGCTACTTTTTTGTTAACCTTGAATTGAACCAATGCCCTGGAGTTTGATATGATTTTGAAAGTTTATCAGTGTTTAGTTAAATAATGTTAGCCTTGGTCAATGAACACTGAATATGATGCTTTCTGAACTATTCTTTGCAGAGAGAGTGGGCTGCAATGCTTGACAAGGCCCTCTGATGACCCTGATATTTGCGCTGTTTGCCTGGAGGGGGCATGCAATGTGGCCGCGGAAGGTTTGTTCTTTCTGTCTTTGAATTTATCAAATTTTCCTTGTGTTGATCTCTTGGACCTCGATCCTCTTTATTAGCACATTTATATGCTCATGGTTCTTCCGGAAGCATCTACTTTCCTTCCATCAATATAAATGCCACAGCTTTCGAAGATTCACCTATTTAAGCAACATAATATTTTTGGCTGGGAGAAAAGAAATTAGGTTCAATGCCAATGCTTATCGCTGGCCTATGAAGAATGTGATTGATTTGTCAATATCAATTTATTTTGGTTCTGGTTTCTATTTCCATTATCTATGAGCTCAATCATGTCGATGTATTCATATCTATAATTGCTGCATCTTTTTGAGGACTTGTTATATATGCTGCATCTAGGCAGCAAAGACCTTGTTCTCTCTTTCAACCAATATAAATTTTTCTATTGGTGAAGATCGAGGACTGTGGTGTCTTTAAATCCTTGCATGAAGGTTCTCGGTTCTTCTTTTTGCATAAGCCAAGTGCATTGTTTTCTTGTGTTTTTCCCTTAGTTATAGAACTGCGAAAGATTTCATTCATCCGACCGTCCGTATCCATCTTTAATTGTGAAGATCTAACTTTCTGCTTCACTTTTTCATGTTGGCATCCAAAGTATCATGGGATATCTTTCCCTTCTACTAGCGCACATAGTTTTAGTATCTCTGAAATTGCCCCTTTGACAGAAATATGAACTTGGAAAAAAACTTCATTTGTAACTTTAATTTTAGAAGTATTTTGAGAACCTTTCTACTTACGTTCTCCATCACCTTTGCAATCTTTGGTGAAATTGATTGTGTCCAGTATGCCAGTCATTTCTTGTTATTGATCGGCAGTTCTTCTCATATTTAGGGTGCAGGCATGAGCTTTGTGTAAGATGCGCACTCTACCTGTGCTCAACAAGCAATATCTCATCCGAAATGGTAGGCCCTACTGGCTCCATCCCATGTCCTCTTTGCAGGCATGGCATTGTCTCTTTTGATAGACTTCCTGGTTCCTCAGCAAAGGAAATGAAGCTTCCTCTGTCTCTTGGCCTCTGTGCTCCATGCATGCTTCATCCTCGTGACATGGATGGGAAATCGCTAGCATGTTTACCAGAGGTCCGAAAGAATCGAGTGGCTTCAGTTTCTTCTGATTTTCTCTGCCCAGTCACTTGCAGCCCATTTCCTTCTGTTGCCATCCCTTTATGTACCTGCAATGATGAACCATGCCCATCTCTTGAAACCCAAGAGGCTGAATCACAAGATGAATCCTCTCATCGTTCGCAAACATCTGTAGAGCAGGTTAAAGTGGAAGGACCAAGGCTTGAGAAAACAAGCTGTTCGAGTATGTTTTGGGGGAGAAGGAGCTGCAGCAGAGAGCATCAGTGCACTTCAGAAATAAATGCATGACTTGTTTTGCTGGATGAATGGTCTAGATTGAATGTTTTGCTCACACCAGTGTGTGTGCAAGGTTGTGATATTTCGTCATACCAACACTGAATTTTCAAAATCCATGTTTGCTTCCAGTTTTTCTCGGCTGGCTACATGAACAAGGCATTTGACTCTGCCCTTTAGATGTTTTTTTAAAATATTTGGTGAGGGTTGTAAAAATTGCATGGGGGGTTTACAGATCGATTGTAATTGAATGTCATCAAAGAAGACTTCTTGTCCCTTGTTCTTCCTACCTTTTGTTACTTACTGGCATCTGTTAGCCTTATTAAACAATGCTTCTGTCTTTGATTGGCCCGGGACCGGAGAGATTTGAAGAAGTAGATGAGAGAGAAAGAGATGGGAGAAGAAGCTGAGAAGAAGAAGAAGAGAAGGCAGGAAAGGGAGGAAGGGAAACTCTCAAACTTGTGTTATTTTAATTAATACACATTATAATTTTATATCGTCCCTCGAAAATTCTCTTGAGATTTTAGCTAAAAAAAATATATAATTTATAGATTTTCTTATACTTGTATTTTCAAACCGTAATAGTAACTCTATCGTAATGCCATTCACACACTAAAAAGCCTTTTATAGTGTCCATGAAGGAAAACCTATTACTCTCTTGATCATTCATCACCTTTTTCTTGCAGCAGTTTCTCTCTGTGCATCAAAGTACACTGCTGCTACTGGCAGGTCCGATCCATTGTCTCCAGAAAACCTTCTAGTGTTGAAACAGTCTCTTGAAGCTGGTTGCCTCTCAGTTTGCCTTCCCCTCTGCTTAAATAAGATGAACGCATATCTATGGATACCAGCCACAGGTTTTGGAGTCTCATAGAGCACAATTTCCTTTCCTGTTGTTTCGCACCAGACGCATTAATAAAATGTATAATAAAACAAACCGAAAAACAAAAATTTCTAGCTAGCTAAGAACTCACCAAAGGAAACAATACCAGCTGTGCCAGGAATGTCAGTGACCATCCTGAAAAAGATAAATATATATGCTGCAAAATATGCCCTTTTAAGGGAAAATGAAAATGTAATCTTGCTATATGAGTCAGCATTTATAGTACAAACCAGTGGAGATGTTCTCTCAAGTATGGATCACCAGGGCTTGGAGCATCAGGGTCTGTCATGATCTACAAAGACACAAAATTAAAAAAAAGCAAAGTAAAGGACTTAAAGGTATAACTATTGATCGTAATGCATTAATATATAGCACTAGAGGAATTGTTTTGTAAGATTGAAAAAGATAGCAAAAAATGGTGGCAAACACGAACTCAGTAGCGTACATGCATCCCTCATGTCCTCACCACCAATCTCAACTCTAGGTCTAGAAGCAATGACAGAAGGCATGAATTCATAGGCATTAGAAGTCCCCCATGGCAGTTTAAGTAACCCAGATTCCCATCAAATTAAAGCATGTGCTTAGGAATGAACGAGTGATCTCTCCCACCAAACCTGAGGACATTATGCCCTCATGTGTTTGAAGCTTGCTAGTTTAAACATGAACTAATCAAACATCACACGTAAAATTACAGTACTTAGTCCTTGGGTCTTGAACGCTATTATAACTTAGTCTTTCTTATATTAAAGCTTTTAATTTATAGTTCTTTACAAGTGTTGACCATAGTTTTATTAAGATATTTGTTAGGTTTTTCTTAATTCCAATGTACTCATCTAGAAAAAGTTGAAGGAAACGAAAATCAAGGAACTAAATTATAGATTTTCGAAGAAGACTAGGCTTATGTTTGGGAATTGCATCCAAATAGACGCTAAATTATAACTAGGTTGAAAATTGAGTGGCTATAAGTAATTTACTCGAGCGATAGCGTAGTGTTCAAAAAAAAAAAACCTAGCCATCTAATAATTAGTTTAAAATCAAGTTAAGAAATTAATAATTAGTTTAATCACGAAGTAAAAAGATTCTCTTTTTTGGCTCATTCTCCTTTTTAATCAAATTAGAGAGGTGTCATCATCCCTGTGAACGTTCAACCAATGTTTAGAAACTCAATTTTTTTAATTAAATTTCATGTATATGGTGTTCTTCTGTCTAAGGTTGTTGACAGAGGTCTTTCTTTCTGAAGCATCCGATCTCTTCTACTCTATCCTTGTCACTTCCATTTCTGGTTTTTTCCCCTTCACTCAGTGCCTTCTGTATATCAAAACTAAATCCATCTCTCTTATTCAGGTAAAAGCAGTTCATCTACAAGATTTTGTTTCATCCTTTTGTTTACAGGTTTGATTTTCAACATTTCTAGCCTTCTTTTGGGTCATCAATGAAGGCATCCCTGGTTTATCTGCTATGACTGTTATGCATGCAGGCGAGGTCATGATATCTAGTCCTACGATAATGTGCCAGACATGAATTGTTTCGATGCCGTTTAACCTCTTAGCTATCTTCATTCTTGGAGATTCAAGCCTAGCGTCGAAATCAAAAGCTTGGCATATGTCGATTTAATTGATCTCCAACTGGGCTGCCACAGACACATGCAGCAAGCCAGCAAGTGGGCAGTGGCTACTTTCTGCTAAATTCTGATATCTGATCTGATGTAAAGCAATGACTGTCAATGGGCGATGGGGCGTGTGTGTGTGACTAGTCCATTTTTTCTCAATGAGCTCAGCATTTTTTCTTCTAATGATGACAAGCTCAGACTTAAAATTTGTGGAATGATGATTCTTTCATAGTTATGAAACTGATATATTATGTTGATAAGGCAAAAAACGACTGATCCTGACATAATTAAACGAAGGGCCATTAATGCAAAGCCACTTCATTAATGCAAAGTCACTTCACAGCCATTGTCAATCTTCCATCTTTAGCTCATAATTTAAAGTTTCAAAATCTTTGCAATAAGGCCATTAAATTTTTCTTACAGCGATTAAAAAACAACTGTAAATTTCCCCCTTTTCATAGTTTTGAAAGCGTGCACGCATCTAAGCATTGATGCATGGGATTGGGAAAGGGATCGTTGCTCTTATTGCTCTTCTCTTTTCTCTCACTCAAACCAAAAACCATTAGTTAATGCTTTCTTTGCTTTTCTGAGAAAGCTTCAGTTCAGCTGACGTTCAAGTCCCGCACGCAAGGTTTCATGCTATGGAGTTGGTGTTCTCATTAAAGTGTGTAGTTGTTTATGTTTGTCCAATCACATCTTATAAATGTGATAATAATTATGATTTAAAGTATTTTTAAAAAATACATATAAAAATTGTGATAATAATTATGATTTAAAATATTTTAAAAAAATACATATAAAAATTATTTTGACATCAATAATTTAAAAATATATAAAAAAAATTAAAATTTTAAAATAACACAATTTGCATTCCGGCTCCAACTTTGGATGCAATGCCAATCATACCATGCAAAACCATGCCATTTTGGTACAAGTGATACTGTGATTGGATTGTTTGATGAGATCTTGGGATGAACTTGAAATCTAGACCGATATGGGAATGGACTAGAAATTGAAATCACTATCAACATTCTACGGATTAATTGAAACAAACGAACGTGGTGAAGTTTAGAAGTCCCATGAACATGAGGGGAGCCTTGTGACATTGAGAAATTTAGTGGGATTTTGGAAGTATATAATGTCATGAGCCTCCTCACCTAAGAATATATATATATATATATAACGGGAATTTGGAGTTTCCTCGTCATTGATTGGTGGGTTCTACATTTAATTAAACCCACATGAAATTTACCAATTTAATTATTGAGGGGTTTCAATAACCTGATTTTTGGTGGATTTATCTGTCTAACGAGACAAATAGTTCATTTATTTTTCTGTTAAATTTTTTTTTTCTTTAAATTAAATATTTGTATGTATTTTCAAGTCACGAGACAAATAGTTCATTTATTTTTCTGTTTAAAAAAAATTATTTTCTTTAAATTAAATATTTTTATGTATTTTCAAGTCATTTTAATATATTGATGTTAAAAATAAATTTTAAAAAATAAAAAATATTATTTTGATATATTTTTAAACAAAAAATACTTTAAAAAATAATATTTATCATAATATTAAACAGGCTTAAAATATCATTAAAAATTTCTATAAGTCATGGGTCAAGTTAAGAAAAAAATTTAATGGTGTTTAAAGAGTAAATATAGATAATTATTTTATTAATTCACAATAATAAATAGATAAGAAAGAGAATCAAATCTAATATTTATAAAAAAAAATAAGAAAAATATTTTTAATGAGGCTGAAAAATATTTTTGTTTTCTCCCTTTTATTTAACTTTCTTTGTGTTTATCTCTCCTCTGAAAATCAATAAGAGTAATTTCTTTCCTAGCATCGTAAAATATATCGCATAAGATACTTGATTGGACTATACTTGGACAATTAACTTTATATAATTGAGACTAAACATCAAAGATTAAAATTTTAAAAGAAAACTGTAAAAAAATAAAATTCTTAGAAAAATAAGAATTTAGAAATATAATGCTTATCTAAATATCTAAATTAGGGGATTGACCCCTTTGTCTAATCCATGCATTTCCATTTGATTTTTTGAAATTGGGATGTAAAACTGAAAGGGCACAAATTCTCAATTATTATTATTATTTTTATTAATGAAGTTAATTTGCATATTCTTTGAAATTTTTTTAATTATAATACTAAGGTTAAATTATAAATTTATTTTTTAGAATTCATCAATTTAAATTTCATGAATTTTAAATTACTACAAAATTATATAATTATTAATTTTAAAATTTATAAAATTTATTAAAATATATACAAACAGGCTGGATGGCCGGATACCCACATAAAAAAAAATTATCAATAATTACGTGCACATTAACGGGATGGATTTTGATTCTTTGGCATGTCTCGCACTGAGCAATATACTCTGCGTCTCAGGAAAACTGGAAAGTAATCGATCATATGGTTACAATTTATCTGTGGGCTGGTGCCCAATACAAATAATAAGAAAGAAAGTTGACTGCATAAAAGTTTTCTGTCAAAACCAGCTTCGTTTTTCCTTTCCTTCATCAAACAACAGGTTTCTTAAGCCTAATTAAGCACCCCCATCATAACAATCTTGCTCGTCAGCTTTCCCCTAATACTTACTGATAACGTTTATTCTCTTTTCTTGACCACCAATTACGTTAATTTGTTCTTGATTTCTTGAATTTAATTTAGAGTTTTGAGTTATTGTACCATCGAGCTAACAGAAAAATATATTGTTTAGGTGATTTTTACAAATAAAATAACAATGTTTGAGACAAAAACTAAAAAAAATTCTTGGATTTAAGCTCTAATGTCACCAAATTTAGACCCAAGTAAAATCTCAGGTCCCATGTACAGATTTCAAACCCAAAAGAAGCATATGACATGGTTTTTACATAGAAAAATAAAAGGTAGGAACATAATTTTGAAATCTGGATCTGCCTAACAGGTCAACCTGGGACTCGACCGATCCAAACATGAGACCGGTCTGGATCTAAGTAAAAATCCATCTGCAAGTTGGCTCGAAAAAACCCGGTCGACCTGGGTAAACCCGACTAAAACCCAACCTCTTTTTTTTCATATGTATAGAGGTTAAATGACGGCGAAGATGAATGATGCATTGAAGATGCAAGCCTACAATTGCAAACAAAGAAAACCTAATAAAGAAAAACAATTTCAATCCTGAATTGCAGAAGAGCAGAAGACTCTTGATCCCTTCAATAAGGTTAAACTTTTGTTTCTTTTCATGAATCTCCTTCTTTCACTTTCTCTTTTCTTTATTCTTTGCTTTTTTTCGAACTAACAGATTAGGTATCGATTAACAGTTCTTGATTCAGTCATCAAAATTCAAAACTCCCTTTATCTCCCACTATTTTTTCAAAACAACCCCAAAATCATTTAAAAAAATAAGAAAACTTATACATTATCCGAATAAGAAGTGCACTTGGCCTTATTATGATCACCACTACTTTTCTTTCTCTTCCTTGTAACAAAAGAAAAACTTTGATGATTTAGTCCTTTTGGTGGTGACTGATGATATTTATTATTAGAAGAGTTTGAATTTGCGATGATAAGTCTTATGTGTTGTGAAGTAAACCTATAGTCATTAAAACACATAAGAAGGGAAAGAGAAGTGCTTCTAAAAAATTTCAAAATAGTTTATGTTTTAAAAAAACAAAAAGAAAGAAAAAACATGCTAAACGGTGGGTTATGGAATTTTCTTTTTTAAAAAATTAATGTATTGACAATAAGAATGAATTAAAAAAATATAGAAAAAAATATTATAATTACATAAAAATAAATTTAAAAAATTAAATTAATTCAAATTAATTTAGGTTAATTCATTTAATTTATAACCCAATCACTAGACCAGATCAATTATTAAAATTATCAACAATATATATAAGTTTCAATAATATAAAACAGGTGGGTCAGTAGCATAGATTAAGG